AGGTTTGACGCTGGCACTCGTAGAAGTGAGGTGCAGGTGTTTGCTGCCAATGGCATCATGGCATTTCAGTGGCATGACAAAAGAGATGTCACACTGTTGTCATCAGTTCACCCTAACAAAATGACAAACACTGGCAGGCAGCATAGAGACAGCAATGAACCCATTCTAAAACCTGCAGCTGCGATTGATTACACCCTCAATATGCGCTCAGTGGACAAATGTGACATGCAAATTGGGTTTGCTGATTGTGTTCGCAAGAGTTATAAGTGGTACATAAAACTCTTTTTCCATCTTCTGGACATTTCCATGCTGAATGCTTATAATATGTATAAGATGAGGACCAGAAACAAACCACCATATGGCGAATTCTGTTCGTCTGTCATCAGACAAATAGTATTCAAGTACCAAGGAACAACACCTGCACTAGACCGTCCACTAAATTATTAACAACTACCTTCTCGTCTGAAGCATGGTGATCACTTCCTAGTAAAACTGCCTGCTACTGCTTTCAAGAAAAAGGCTCAGAAGAGGTGTTACGTCTGTGCACATACAAAAAACGGCCACAACAACGCAGAGACACTCGTTTTGTGTGTGAGGAGTGTAAAACACCACTGTGCATGACACCATATTTCAAAGAATTCCACAGGCTGCAGACCTTCTAGAAACATTTCCTGTGACTGTATATGTGTATATAAAATATAGAAAAATAGTAACAAACAACATTTCATATCGTTTGTCTGTGTAAATATTTTCTGTAAACAAAAACAGTGACAAGTGTTTATGCAGTTATTGTGTAGTATAGATAAAGAAATAACTTACAAAATAGTGATCATATTGGTCTCACAGGCCGTGAAGTTACTTGGGAAAAAAAAAATAAAAAAATAATAGAAAATAGTACTTAAAAAAATAAAGTAATACCGGGTGACCGGCAGTCGGCGATGTTACCATATACAAAGCATTTTCTGTCAACTTCATGCCTCCATATTTCGGTAATTATTGATGGTAAAAATTTTTTGTTTAGCCTATAAGATTTAAAAAAGAAGCTATCTTTTCATAAGAATTTTTTTTTTTTTTTTTTTTTTTTGAAATTTTGGCGACCCTGAGAACAAGTCTCGGAGAGGGCCTGGGTACCCTGAAAGGGTTGAAAGACAGAGAAGGGAAGTAACCCCAGAGAGGGCTTTGATACCTGAAGTCCTTATGGAGGGGGTTCTCCATCCAAACAATAATCCCAACTCCCTCTCTCCTCCTCCCTATCTTCCAGATGCCGTCACCAGTCTTCAATAAAGGTAAGTAAAAATGTTATTTTATATGTTTATTTAAATTTATTACTAATTGTACTATGTATGTTTGTTGTATGTATGTAAAATTATAATGTAATCTTTATAAAATGTATTTTTTTGTGAATATTTTGCATTTCTGGAATAGATTAATTGTATTTCTATTATTGCTTATGGGAAATATTGGTTTGACTTTCGAACATTTCGACTTTAGAACTATCTCCTGGAACAGATTAAGTTCGAAACTTGATGTTCCACTGTATTGGGTAGATGGTGGGAATATTTTGAGGTACTTTTAACCCTTTCAGGGTCGACAGGCCCTCTCCCAGACTTGTTCTCAGGGTGATGTATGAAGCTGACTCTGAAATTAAATTAGTGTTTTGGGGGCATATTTATGATTTAAACTATAAAAATAGGCATATACAGGCATTTTTTAACCTCAGCCAGAATTCACGGTATTTCCAAATTCGCAGGTAGTCTTGGAACGTAACCCCGTGAATTTGGGGGGACTACTGTATATGTAATAGGCACAATAATGTGAGTATATGTCTCGTATATTTAGTAAGCTCAGGCTTTTGAAAAGTGGTGGGATGTGCTATCTAGCACAGGAGTTGGTAATCATCCACACAGCAGCTTTTTGTTGGGTTATTAAAGGTTTAAGACGGTTGTCTGTGGTTGATCCCCAGGCACAAATACCATAGGTGAGGTAGGGATATATTAAAGAGTGGTATAGGGTAAGGAGTGTCATTTGAGGTACATAGTACTGTATCGTATCTTGGAAAGGATGCCTACTGATTTAGAAATTTTCTTGGATATGTGTTGGATGTGGGAATGAAATTTAAGATTACAGTTAAGGAGAAGACCTAGAAATTTACCCTCAGTGTGTCTTGTAATAGGAAACCATTTATCGATATATTAAGTTGGACATTTAAGGCTCTGTTTCCAAACAGCATGAAGTATGTTTTGTCTATGTTGAGAGTGAGTTTGTTGGTCATCATCCAAGTACAGTACGTATATATTTTTAGCAGCTCATTGTTTACAGTGTCTCTAAGTACGTATAGCTGAGTTTGAGTGGGAGTAGACATAAGTAGTGTCATCTGCAAATAGAACTAGTTTAAGGAGTTGAGATGCGTTGGGGAGATCATTGATGTAGATGAGAAAGAGGAGTGGGCCTAGGACACGACACTACCCTGTGGCACTCCGACAGCTGCAGGCTGGATAGTGAAGTTGACTCCATTTGCTTATAGTATTGTTAAAATAAGATTTTAGGTAAATGAGGGAATGTCCTCTAATGCCGTAATGATTTAGTTTTAAGTGCAGGAGATTGTGGTCCACTGTATCAAATGCTCTCTGTAGGTCAGTGAAGAGCCTCAGAGGTTATTTATTTTTATTGAGGGCTGTACATATTAGTTCAAGCATTTGTATAATAGCATAATTCATACTTTTTTTTGGTCTAAACCCAAACTGGCATGGGTTAAGTATGTTGTTGGATATTAGGTAGGAGTAAAGTCATTTGTGTATTATTTTTTCAAATATTTTCGAAAGTAAGGGCAAGTTTGAGATAGGTCTATAGTTGTTCAGATCAGTTGGATCACCTCCTTTGAGGATTGGGGTAACTCATGCTGTCTTGAGTATGGACGGGAAAGTTGAGGACTACAGATTTGTTAAACAGTGTTGCAGTAATGGGTGACAACACATTAGCAGCTTTTTTATATATGAATGGTGGCAAGTTATTTAAATCTCCTGGTTTGGTTTTTTAATGATTTAATGATGAGTGAGACTTTAGTAGAATTAGTTGGAGCTAGATATAGAGTATTTGGGTAGTTGTCAGTGAGGTAGTCTTTCGGCTGGGTATGAGCTAGAAATTTTGCTTGCTAGCTTCGATCCTACAGTAGAGAAGAAGATATTAAATTTGTTGGCCGTGTTTTTAGGCTGTATGTGAGGTTCATCTGATTTAGTTAAGTTTATCTCTGTTTCTAGACAGTTTTTTAAAGCCCAAACTTTTGGAGAGGGATTGCCAGGTCCTTTTCATATCACCTTTTATTGCAATAAATCTATTTTCGTAATGCATTTGCTTTGATTTTCGTATTAATTTTGTGAGTATTGATGTGTATCATTTAGCCATTTCTTTAGTAATCAGGCCTAATCTGAACAGTTTTTCAAGTTGGTGCTTTTTATCAATGGATTTGAGGATACTATTTGTTAGCCATGGGCTGTTTAGTCTCCTTGCTGTGATCTGCTTCGTTTTGATCGGACAATGCATGTTATAGAGATTTTGGGCTTTATATTAAAAAAATTTTGACATCTTTGTCAATATTATTGCTCAGTTAGCTCTCTCTGCCAATCAGTGTTGCCTAGTGCCAATATTAAATTATTTACTGATGGCTCGTCGTGCAGGCAAAATGAGATTTTTCTCGAGTCTTGAGGCAGTTTATATAAGTTGGTTATGAGAAAGGTGGGGTAGTGGTCTGTAGTGTTGTTTGTGATTATACCTGCTTGTAGTGGAGATATCTTGTTGGTCCAGATATGGTCAAGTAATGATGCACTTGTCTCAGAGATTCTTGTTGGCTTAGTTGTAGAAGGTAGTAGCAAGCAGTTGTTCATAGTGTTTGTGAAATCAGCTACTGGAGGGTCAGTTGCTTGGATGAGGTTTGTGTTGAAGTTTCCTGTAAGTACCAGATGGTGGATATCAAAAAAGTGATTCTTGTTGTTATGCCTGTGTGTTCATTACAGTTCACCAAGCAGTGAATGTCTTCTAGCTCTAAGTGCACAATAGTATATATGGTCTACATGCTAAGTTGGTTTAGTTGTTTGTATGATGGATGTGTTTGCTATGTGTAGAACAAAAGTGTGAGACAATTCTAATAATAAGTTTTGTTATGTTATGATTGGTTTTTTGTATGTTACTATTTTGATCTCTTACAACATATACCATAAGTAAGATATTGATAGTTGAGTGTACTTTCCTGTAGATGCTCAACTGTATGTGGTTGCAGGGGTCAGGCTCTAGCTCCTGACTCTGAACCATAAGAAATTTTGATAAAATATGCCCATTATTTATTAAATTTATTTTAATGTTTTGGATGTGCATGTTGAATTTGTTTGTTATCTGAGTATAGGCCCGTGAAATTTGAGTGTAATTTATCCTGGTATTTATGTGGTTAATGATTTTTTTTTTTCCAAATATTGTATAGAAGGACTTCTTTTTTTTTTTTTTTGTTGAGTATGAATGTTTTGGCTGTCATCCAGATCAATATATTTTTTGCTGTATCATTTACCATATTATATAAGATAACTGTGTCAATGGTTGAAGGGAAACTGTGGTTTCATATGTAAGTATTGGTTTTAGTTGCTGGAAAGTATTTGAGCAATCACTGGTATAAAGGAAGAGTAGTAGAGAACTCCAGTACATAATATTTTTGGGTAGTTAATAAAAAAATATTGTTTATGGTAACATGTGGGTATCTGTCACTGAGGTAAGTAGTGTCTACATGAAGAGGAGTGGTTTAAGCTTAGTATAAGGAGTTGGTGTAGTTGCTAGTAATGTAATTGTTGGCTGCGTGGGATTGTTTTTTGCTTGGTTTAACCTTATTGTTGAAAAACTGTTAATTATATTTAGGATTCGTATTTGAAGTAGGTTGATGTTCTTTGGTAAGTATAATTTGCATATGATTTTGTCTCATTAGCTCCTAGAATTTGGGCTAAGAAATATTGTTCCTTTAGGGAAAGCACAAGAGACGACGGCACCCATTCCTCCTCCGGTAACTGGTCTGCTTCCTCAAGCACGCGCACTTCTGTTGAATCGGATCAGCAGCGACCAGTTGCTTCACCAACCTCATCTCTTGAACAAGACTCCATTCTTTCAGAGTACGATTAATATTTTTTTCATTTTCACTGATTATGGTTAATACAGTATAGCAGGGCTCCAACTTATGAGTGAAATGCTTTTCCTGTGTTTCAGCTTAACCCTTTCAGGGCCCATACCCCTTGATCAAAAATTTGTCCACAGGGTCCGAGAATTTTCAAAAAAATTTTTGTTATTTTTTCTTGTGAAATAGTAGAGAAACTTTTTCTGAAGGTAATAAAACAAAAAGTATGAAATTTGATGGAAAATTGACGAAACTATGCTATCATGAATTTTGCTTTGTCAGCGATATTTATGCATCAGTGATTTTTGCCCACTTTGAGTCCTGTTTTAGGCCAATTACATTGTTCCAGTCCACCAAATTCTTAGCTATTTTGCTAGTATGCCTTCCTTTTTATCAACTGAGAACAAGAAACCACCCAGTCAGCTATTTCAACTACCCAATAAAGTGATCAGAATTTGGTAATTTGGCCAATTTCACACAAATTTCAAAATATGCCACTGTCAAAATAGGATCCGGAATAAACAATGCAGGTATTCCTAGCACTAAAATAACATTTCCTGTGTTCATTAGTTATGTTCCCAGGCTGTACACACTAATTCTGTTTTGAATTTTTATTCACAGAATTTTTATTCAAACAAAAAAATAGAAGATTTACTGTTATGCACTATTGTAATAATTGTATAAATAATGTCAGCACATTCGTGATGCATATTAGACTGACCAGTGGATGCATACTGAACAAATTATGTAATTAGTTTACTCTGGAATGTTGGCAAAAATTTAATATTTTCACTACTTTGAGGTCAGTTTCAAGCTGTTTTCAGTCCTCGCACAAAATCATCTCTATTTCTGTAATATAGGCACTCTTCACTTAACCACCAAATTCCGTTCCCAGGGGTAGGTCAGTAAGCAAATTGGTCGATAAGCGAGGAGTTGCCCCTTACCAATATTTTTAGCATACTGTACTGGTAGTGGGATTGTGCCAACTATCTTTAAATATTGTTTTAATATCACCTTTGCATCATTTATAGCATTTTTAGTATAAAAATAAAACTAGGCATAAAAAACAATAAAAAAGTAAAATACAGCCTCTCCTCACTTAACGACGGAGTTCCGTTCCTGAGACCATGTTGGTAAACAAATTTGTTTCTAAGTGAGGAGCATACTATAATGGTAGTGGGTTTGTGTCAACCATTATTGATACTGTTTTAATGTCACCTTTGCACCATTTATAACATATCTGGTATATTTTTAAATGTTTATTCAGTAATGTTACTGCAATAATTTTTCAGATACTGTAATAATAGGTATGACAAACTCCTTTTTAACTTATTTATATCTGATTTATGGCATTATGAGCCCCTGTAACTCTGAGTCCGTTCGGTAAATCGGCTTGGGCAGGAGGAGAATTTGTACAATATCAGTCATCATTTTACTTTAAATATTTGTACATCTTGCTTAAGTGCCAGTTTAAGTATTTATTGTATGCGATAAAAGCATGTACAATACACTCATTACTCCTAAAAATTTTTATAGTCTATAGAGATGTGAAAGATGAATATTTTTGGAAAGAAGAGGAAAGAATGGAAGAAGTACAAAAATGTTCACTGTAAAGGGTAGCGTGTATGAGCAACCATAATGTATAGAATTAATGCAGTGTTCGTCTTTTTGTTGACATATCTCGGCGTCTCTCCATTTCTCTTGTGTTACTCATTTAATAATAATAAACCACTATGGGGTCGTGGTGTGCCAACCACACGGAATTATTCGAACATAAAGCACCCCAGAGCGTATTATTATTTTATTTTATTATTAACTTATTATTATTATTATTATTATTATTTTTCAATAAGTCGGCCATCTTTCCAACGAGGCAAAGTACCAAAAAAAGAAAGAAAATCCCAAAAAGAAAATACTTTCAATACATAAACTTTCATCCCACACTCACACACAATACACTGTTTTTGCAGAGGTGCTCAGAATACAACAATTTAGAAGCATATGCGTATAAAGATACACAACATATCCCTCCAAACTGCCAATATCCCAAACCCTCCTTTAAAGTGCAGGCATTGTACTACCCATTTCCAGGACTCAAGTCTGGCTATATAAAAATAACTGGTTTCCCTGAATCCCTTCACTAAATATTACCTGTTTACACTCCAACAGCTCATCAGGTCCAAATACCATTCGTCTCCATTCACTCTTATCTAACACGCTCATGCATGCTTGCTGGAAGTCCAAGCCCCTCTCCCACAAAACCTCCTTTACCCCCTCCCTCCAACCTTTTTGAGGACAACCCTACCCCGCCTTCCTTTCCCTACAGATTTATACGCTCTCCATGTCATTCTTCTTTGATCCATTCTCTCTAAATGACCAAAACACCTCAACAACCCTCTCAGCCTCTGATTAAACTTTTATTAATCCACACCTTCTCCTAATTTCCACGCTCTGAATTTTCTGCATAATATTCACACCACACATTGCCCTTAGACAGGACATCTCCACTGCCTCCAACCGCTTCCTCACTGCGGCATTTACAACCCAAGCTTCACACCCATATAAGAGTGTTTGGTACTACTATACTTTCATACATTCCCTTCTTTCCTCCATAGATAATGTTTTTGTCTCCACATACTCTAAGCACCACTCACCTTTTTTCTCCTCATCAATTCCACGATTAACCTCATCCTTCATTAATCCATCCGCTGACACGTCAACTCCCAAATATCTGAAAACATTCACTTCTTCCATACTACTACTCCTCAATTTGATATCCAATTTTTCTTTATCTAAATCATTTGATACCCTCATTGCCTTACTCTTTTTTATGTCACCTTTCAATCTTTCTTACCTTTACACACACTCCCAAACTCTTCACTACCTTTGCAATTTTTCTTAGAATCTCCCATAAGCACAGTATCATAAGCAAAAAGTAGCTGTGTCAATTCCCATTTTGTATTTGATTCCCCATAATTTAATCCCACCCCTCTCCCTAACACCCTATCATTTACTTGTTTTACAACCCCATCTATAAATATATTATACAACCATGGTGACAATTACTCTGTTCACTGTAAAGGGGTTACCTGGTGTGTTCATCTGTTCGTTTACATTCTCGGCATCTCTCTCATTTACGATGGCATCTAAGGGTAAGTCAAGTATAGGGACTCATAAGTACACTTACATAAATTATCATACCTAGCATATGTGTAGACCACCCACCAGGATAACTCAAAAAAGTCGGACAGAGTGACTTTTTTGGGTTATCCTGGTGGGTAATCTATAACCCTTGTGGTTTAGCACTTCTTTCTGATTATAGTAAATAATAATACACTTGCTACTGTGTATGATAATTTATGTAACTGTATTTATGTGTACCTTTACCTGAATAAACTTGCTTACCCTTAGATGCCATCGTAAACAAGAGAGATGCCAGGAATGTAAACAAACAGACAAAAAACACCTGCTAACCCCTTTACAGTGAACTTCTTTTGTACTTCTTTCATTTTTTCTTCTTCTTTTTCTTCTTCCTCTTCCAAGTGCTGCTGTGCTTCAAACTCTTATCATGTACATATTATGGGGTGCACAATAAAGTACAGATTTATAGATGAAATACGTAATCTTGGAGATTGCTTGACGCTGAGACACCACACTGCCGTTTCCATGACCAAAGTTCTTATACAGTGTACAATACTGACTGGTTGGAGAAACCTGGTTGTAAGTCTGAGCATTTTTAAACAGGTAGTTGTTATTGAGGGTCCTTATCTTATTATTCAAAAACTTATTTATTAGTTTTCAACAAAATTTGTTGATAACATCTCACCCACTCTCTCATTTGCTCTCTTTTTTACATTGCTTCACCACTCTCTTAAAACTTCTCTCTTTTTTCCATATACTTTTCCCCTCCTTGCTCACTTCTACTTTGTAAAAACTTCTCATATGCTAACTTTTTCTCCCTTACTATCTCTTTACATAATCATTCCACCAATCGCTCCTCTTCCCTCCTGCCCCCACTTTCCTGTAACCCACAAACTTCTGCTGAACACTCTTAACACTACATTTTTAAACCTACCCATACCTCTTCAAACCCATTGCCTATGCTCTCATTAGCCCATCTATCCTCCAATAGCTGTTTATTCTTACCCTAACTGCCTCCTCTTTTAGTTTATAAACCTTCACCTCTCTCTTCCCTGATGCTTCTTTTCTCCTTGTACCCCATCTACCTTTTACTCTCAGTTGTAGCTACAACTAGAAAGTGATCTGATATATCTGTGGCCCCTCTATAAACAATGTACATCTGAAGTCTACTCAACAGTCTTTTATCTACCAATACATAATCCAACAAACTACTGTCATTTCGCCCTACATCATTCGTTATACTTATTTATCCTCTTTTTCTTAAAATTTTGTATTTCCCATAACTAAACCCCTTTCTATACAAAGTTCAATCAAAGGGCCCATTATCATTTACACCTGGCACCCCCAAATTAACCTACCACACCCTCTCTAAAGTTTCTCCTTTCTTTAGCATTTTAAGTCCCCTACCACAATTACTCTCTCACTTGGTTCAAGGCTCCTATACATTCACTTAACATCTCCCAAAAACTCTCTCTCTCCTCTGCATTCCTCTCTTCCAGGTGCTACACGCTTATTATGACCCCTTCTCGCATCCAACCTTTACTTTTTAAACCACATAATTCTTGAATTTACCCTTCATATTCTCTTTTTTCCTTCCATTAATGATCATTTTAAAATTACTGCTACCCCTTCCTTTGCTCTAACTCTTCAGATACTCCAGATTTTAAACCCATTTATTTCCCCCCACTGAAATCTCCTACCCCCTTCAGCTTTGTTTCGCTTAGGGCCAGGACATCCAACTTCTTTTCATCATACATCAGCAATCATCTGTTTCTTGTCATCCGCACCCACATCCACGCACATTTAAGCAACCAGTTTTATAAGTTTTTCTTCTTCTCTTTTTTAGTAATTGTATAC